GATTGGCACAGGACAGAGCAGAGTTTAGGGCTGTTGTACATAGGGTCGCTATGAGTCGCAAGCGACTCGACGGCACATAACAACAACAACAACAAGGTGCTCCACGGGAGAAAGATGGGTAATCTCCTCCCTTGCAATTCACATTCTCTGAAAACCTATCAGTTATGATTTGGTTCCCACTTGACATCTCAAAGTATGTAAGATGAAATGTCACCATCCTTCCCTCTAAGGGGTACCCTGGTTGCACTTCCTCCAAGACGGACTTTTCCTTTTGGCAATCTATGGAATATTCAGCGTTATTCTCTAACACGATTTAAGGCATGGATTCTTTTTTCTGCCAACCTTGTTCATTGTCTAACTTTCAGATTTAAACTGGTATCGTTGCTAATAGGGACTAATGAGCCCTTTGGAGAGATCTTTGACAGTCAATTTTGCCAGTGCACAGACTGTGACTTCTTGATTGCATCTACCATATGTGCTGATTAGTGGATCCAAGTAAAAGGAGATTTTGGGGAACTTTGTTGAAAAGGTACCCCAATCATTAAATTTCTCAGGAGAGAAACGGTAAAAAAAATTGGAAGGGGGCATTATAAAGGGGAATGGTGGAAATCACCAGGGTAATAGTTTTGTGGGGAGATTGAGGGAGAAGAGGGGAGTGGGAGATATTCAAAAGGGGACTTGAAAAAATGGTGCAATAATAGGCATAGATCAATTGTAATTAATTATATTGGACACAGTGATGATTGTATAAAAAAATGCAAATGAAGGAACGTATAGAACACAGTGTATATGAAAGAAATAGAATGTAAATAAATTACTGTATGAATACAAAAAAATATGAAGTAAAATTATTGGGGAATAAAAAAATAATAAAAATTTAAAAAAAAGAAAACGCGCCTGCGCACACGCTCTGCCACGGCACCAGTCCACTTGGGCCGGGAGGTGGCGCTGTAGCAACACGCTCCTTGCCTGCGCGGTCGTCCTCGCATCCTTTGGGCCGCTCTAGCCGCTCGTCTCGCCTGCTCTGCCGGGAGGCTGGCGCGCCCGCGGGGGGTCCCTCCAAGATGGCGGCGCAGAGGAGGAGTGTACTGCAAAGTGTGAGGATCTGACCCGCTCTCCGGGCTGCGGGGTGGGAGTCTGGGGTCGCCTGTCCTGTCAGGGAGCGGTTCCCTCTCCGCTTTTGGACCTCCTCCCTCTCCGGGGCGGGATGTGTCGGCCGTCCTCCCCGCTGAGTGGGATGGCCCCCCTTCATCCCGATGCCGGGGGGCGCGCGCAGGCTGTCCGGCCGTGCGTGAGTCGCGCGTGCGCGCTGGCTGGAGGTCACGGCCCCTCTGTTTCCAGTGTCCGCGGGTGTTGAGGACTCCGGGGCTCCTCGCCGCACGGCCGGGACGTCCGGTCCGGCGTCCGGGGAGGAAGCGTCCTCGAAGGCGGCGCGGCTGCGGGGGACCCAGGTCCTGGGGGTGCGGTGGGGTCGGTTCGACTCAACGACCCGGCAAAACACTGCTGGTTCCTGCGCTAGAGCCTTGCTGCATGCGCTGTTCACTTCATCCCGTTGGGGAGCTTCGTCCTTCTTGCTGACCCTCTGCCAAGCACCATGTCCCCCAAAGGACTAACCCCTTCTGATAACCTGCCCAGAGTATGTGCCACCGAGTGCCCTCCGTCAGTCAATCAATCCTTATTTTTTAGAATTCAAAACCAGCCGGTTTTCTTTTTTTATTTTCTTATTTATTGTCCTTTCGAATGGATATTAGCAAAACCATGGCTTGTTGAGTCAGGCACACCTTAGTCATTGAAGTGACATCCTTGCTCCCACACTTTGGAGAAGAGGTCTTTTGCAGATTTGCCAGATGCTACGTAGGCATTTGGTTTCTTGACAGCTGCTTCCTTGGAAGCTGATTGTGGAGCCAAGTACGACGAATTCCTTTTCTTCATTAATCCTCTTGTTGCCCAGTGGTCCACTTGTCAGGATTTTTACTCGTTATGTTGATGTGTGGTCTTTTCTAAAGCGTGTAGGTAATCTTTTGTTCTTGCTTCAAATTTTCTTCACTTCATTTGCATATTCTAGTTGTTAATAAACTTTCTTCCAGTCCAGATTACAGGTTCTTCAACATAAGACTTTTTAGGATTATTTGCTCAGTATACAGATTGAAGACTTATGGCCCGAGGATACAGCCCTGGCACGTCCCTTTCTTGATATTTAAACCCTGCAGTATTGTTCAGGCAGCTGTTTTCTTTGCTTAGCTCCACATAAGTGCAGTGAAATGTTCTGGATGTTTGATGATTTCTTCATTCTGTTAGATCACCTATCTTTTTGGAATAGATACACGTATTAATCTCTAGTTAGTTGCCCAGCCAGGTAGCTGTCTTCAAATTTATTGACGTGTTGATTTGTTAAAACATCTCACTTGGTAATCCATCAGTTCCTGAACCTCCCTGCCCCCACGGTGCCTTCACTGCAGCCTGGACCTCTTTCCTCAGTACCTCTGGTTTTGAGTTGTTGTTTTGTTTATTTTTTTTATCTCTTGTTGTGTATGGTTGAACCAGATCGGACTGACACAGGAGGAGATTGTCCCTCCTTCTCTAGCAGAGCATCTGGTGGATTCGAACCATGCACCCTTTGAGATTGCAGTGCAACTTCTTGCCAGTAGGCTACCAGAGCTCAGCTGATTTTTGATCATGTGCAACCTCCTAAAGTGATGGCACATCGGTCAGTTCTTTGTGGTACAGTTACTGTGTGCTCCTTCCATCTTCTTTTGATGTTTGCCTTATTCAGGATTTTGCCATTACTTACTCTTCACTGTTGAGTTGGAACTGACTCCTAGCTGACCTTCCATTGGGTTTCCAAGGCTGTAAAATGCATAGTAGGAGACTGCCCACCTTTCTCTCCCTGGAGCTGCTGGTAGATTCGAAGTCCCAGAGAGGCATGGGTTAGCTTCCTGTTGACCTAGGCCATGAGTCTAGAAAAATTAAAGGTCATAAACAACAAGAGAAATGCATAAAGATGGCTATACTAGGTGAGCTGAGATGGACTGATATTGGCTGTACGGGTAGTTATGATAAAAATAATTTTAATAATACTGACAACTGTTGTTGTTTTGATTGCCGTCGGATCGAGCACGAGTCATAGCGACTCTATGAACTAAAGACCTGATGCCTTTCCATAACTATCATCATTTCTCCAAGTTCATAGAGTTTCCAGAGGCTTACGGTTTAGGAAGTGGATGCCACTCCTGCTTCCAAACTTTAGTTTTACAATTGGGAGCTTCACTAAACAGTGTCCACATTGGAAAGCCATTCTGGTATTTGCTATGCCAATAGTACAAGGTTCAGCATCACAGCTAAACCAGGTTACCTCATATGGCACATTGACAAAGTGCCAGTGTTGTTATATTTTGGAGGACCATTCTTCTAAACCATAGAGCATGCTTCTGTCAGTTTGTCATAGGGAGGTAATCCGGGTTTCCTGTGCTGCTGAGCCTTGTGCCATTGGGATGTCAAATGCCATAATAGTTACCCATAGTGGAAAGTGTTTGGTGGAGCTCCTAGTTTAAGACAGGTTTGGAAGCAGGAGTGGCATCCACTTCCTAAACCATGTGCCTGTGGAAACACTATGAACTTGGAGAAATGACGGTAGCTATAGAAAGACTTCAGGTCTTTTAACAGGGTCGTGATGAGTCGTGTTCAACTTGACGGCAATCAACAGCAACACAACAACAATACTGACAGCATCACTCACATATTACTGTGTCCCAGACATTGTGCTGCTTGCTTCACTTTGGTAAGTTTAACTTTAATAATGGCCTCATGAGATAGGTACTATTATGAGAATTCTTATATTTGAGCAAACAGAGACACAGAGAGGTGCCCGTTTGTCCAAGGCGACACAGCTGTTTAGGGGCAAAGGCAGGAGTCGAACCCAGGCAGTCTGATTGCAGAAATCGTCTTTGACGTCAGGCTATACTGAAGGCATGGCTGGGATAGTTTCTTAGTTCTGGTCCTGACTCTGACTTGTGTTTCCTTCTGCCTCAGTTTCTTATCGTAAAGTGTGAAGAGAGCAAGTGCAGTGGGAGAAGTGTCCTGATGCTGTGGGCTTAGTGCCAGCCCTGCGTCCCCCTGCTCGGATGCACAGCTGGACCCACTGGCAGCACAGGCCTGTTCTGACTTGCCGGGACTGGAATCACCCCCTGGGTCCTGCCCAGTCATGGCTTGGTACCAACCGCTCTGACAGCTCCGTGCACCGCGGTTTTGCTGCCCAGTCCAACTCCATCCCTGTGATCAGTGCTGTTATCCATGGTGTTTTCATTGGCTGATTATCAGAAGTAGATCACGAGGCCTTTTTTTCTTGGTCTGTTTCACTGAAACCTGTTCAGCATCCTAGCAGCATGCCGGCTCCCATGACTGATGGGTCATGGTTGAACACTAAGCCATTCTCCTGTGTGAGGCAAGAATTCCCGCTCTGAACTGCCACTAGCTCCCTCTACCCTCCATGGCATTGGCATTCTTATAGTTAGTTGCCTCTGGACTGCTCTGAATGTCTTATAGGGTCACTCCGAGCCAGAGTCAGCCCAGAGACAGTGATTTTTGTTTAACTGCTGCTCAGGTCTTCATTGTTTGGGTTGGTTTGGCAGGGTTGACACTCTGTTTTGTAAGCTGGAGGTCAAGGTTTCTGTATAATGTCCCTATTGTAGTAAGCATTCTGGAAATACTCGCTGGATTGTGACATCCAAGAGTGGCTGTGAAAGTGGTCATTGCTGGACGCTGGATGAAGAGAGCGTGCTGGTGGTTGTGCAGAGTGTGTGAGCACCAGAGAGTGGCCCTCTCGGTGTGGTGGAGAGCTGGGAGGAGCTGGATTAGAGAGGTGGTGAGCTCTGCTCGCTCAGAAATGTGCTCTGAGGGCGGTGGTGGGATGTGTGCTCACCCTTTCCAACTTCCCACACAGGGGCTCTTCCCGCCTTTTCTTCCATGACAGTCTAGACATTCCCACTCACTGGGTGTCCCAGGTGTTGTCAGAGGAGAGGGCCAGGCAGTGGCCAGGACTTAGTGACCTGCCCTGAGTCTGTGAGAGCAGCTTCTTTGAGTAGATGGTGGTGATCTGTGGTCACTGCGCTTGGGAGTATGAAGGTAAAGACCTCATGATCACTGCGTTGGTGGTCCTGCTGGGAGAGGAAGTCTTGTGCCATTCATGACGTGTTAGGAAGTGTAAAAAATGGGGGTGTTCTGGGGACATCCATATCCCCTGACAAAGGGGAACAGTCCCCTCAGCAAAAACCACAATAAAAAACCAATTCCCGTAGGTCAGACATGGCTCCCATACTCCAGTACCTGTTGTTGTGTACCATAGAGTCACAAGTGACCCACAGCTGACCACCAGCGAGTTTTCAGAGGCAGTTACTCACATGGGAGGAGATTGCCTATCCTTCTGCTGGGGAGCAGCTGGTGGCCCCAAATCTTGTGTCTTGGGATTGCAGTGCTGCTAGGCCCCCAGAGCTCGCACTCTTAGCACCTACTTCTACTCATTCTGACACCAGTTGTGCTGTTCTCCTAAGTTCAGAATTGCTTGCAGTGGCCACACAGACCTCACAGAACCAACTATTCATGGTTATGGGATTTCTTAGGGAGCTGTAGTGAAGTTAACAGGGTGCAATTCAGGTCAGCAGCGGCATATAGTTCCTCAGTCAGGACAGCTTCTCAAGCGTGTTCACAGGCCTTTCATCCCTGTGGTTTTAGGCCATTGTCACAAAGCTCTTTGTCCTGTCAATTACAGCATCTCTCCCTAGTCCTTCAGCAAGCTCAGGTCAAAATCCTTGAAGGGTCTGGCTCCGTGGGGCAGCAGCCTCAAGTCAGCTGTCTCCTGTTGGTCTCTAATGCACCAGTGCCTGGTGCAGGTATCTCTGGTAGGGGCCACACTGCAGTCCCTGCTGCTTCTTCCTTGCTAGTGGTGAGATTCCCCTCTTCTGATGTCAAGCTTGCTAAATTTAAACCTGGTGAGATGGGAAAGCTAACAAGTCCTCTTGTGGATAGACTTTACACCCCATTTGTGTGTTCTCGCCCATCCCTGTGGTGAAAGCCATTTTGAATAGTCAACTCCTTACATCGC